TTCCCCCTACGATCCCTCCGGCCCATTGTACGCCCAATGGCAGCTTATCAATATAGGCGTTTTTCCACGAACCAACGTTTGGGACTAACTCTAGTTAGTCATCTTTAGACATTCCTTCTCCATAGGATGTTTTAAAAACTCTAACTCTGAGGCCATTTTTATTTTTTATTAAGGTGATCGCAAAATAGATAGGATTGCAAAATATATATTTATTACAAGGTTCTAGGGGAAAACATAATGAAAAAATAAAGACATTCAAACGCCGACTAGTCCAACCATGGCCACGAGGTAGACGGAACAAACAAGGATCTCATGATGGTAGAGGTGTTCAAATCTAAGCCACGAGCTCATTCCTGCGAAACGCAAGAAAAGAAAGTGCATCAAACAACCCCAAACCACAGGTTAGTGAACAGGCACTTAAATACTTACAGCTCATCCAGACCTGGGGCCTCATGTATAAAACTTTCAATAGTTTTCATCCTAAAAAAAGTGTGCGTATGCACAACAGCTAGATTTTGCTTACGCACAAAAGTTTTCAGATTTATAAAACCATTGATACCACGTTTAACACAAGACATTAGGAAAATATGAGATAAGGACTATGTTTCCTCACATTGCATTGCTAAAATCATTCAGTATTCTTGCCTTTGTAGCGTTACGGTGGGGGTAAACGGTTGGAAAGACCAAATCGTATAGTGGTAAATAAACAAAAAGCTGACTACGCCACCCCTCTTCAGAGAGAGGGGAAATAACTACCCAATGTAAATAGGGCACACAGGTTCGTTACCATGGAGGGCAAAGAGATGTGGATATCAGTACAAAAGTTAATTTATTAAGTTCACATCAATAGGTAAAATTTTCTGGTCACTGTAAGGCAGAATCTCACACACACACACACGACTTGTACCACACTGTTCATCCACCCACACGATAAACGAGAAAATAAAATAAAATAACTGTTAAGATGGTTGAGGCTCACCCGTAGTGGGGTAGGCTAACTAAGTATCTAATTCAAAAGCCACACGCACACACACACGCACGCCCAGTGAGGTATAAGTGGTTACAAGCGGCAAACCACACTAAGTGCTTAAAGTACCATCACCAGAAGGCAAGAAAAGCTAGCCTCCCAACCCGGGGTCCATCAGCCTAAAATAAACAAAAACAAGATTAATGAATACACTAAACACAAATAATAGCAAAATTCAGAGTGGTTGGTGATACCAAACACTCACCACAAAGGAAACAATAGCTTGTAGACAAAACAACAAATCACAAAGCAACAAAGTTGCAACTTAACACATTGCACAATAATCAACATCCAAACTAACCAAAAACAAAGTAAAGAAACATACAACTTAACACACAGGCAGCCAATGATAAGATGACTGAAGGGCGAGCCCACGTACACCACTTCGGCACCTGCAGCGGTGAACAGATCGATGGTTGTAGCGGTGAAGACATACAACACCGTAACCAGAGTTGGGTAAGTTACTCAAAAAAAGTAATCCACTACAAATTACCAATTACTACTTTAAAATTGTAATTTGATTACATTACTGATTACTGCATGTAAAAAGTAATCTGATTACTAATTACTTTACTTTCAAGTTACTTTGAAAACATATTAAAACTACACAAAAATACACTACAAAGTGAAACTCAGTTCTTTCCGTAATTTAATTGGGCGAGCTCTGTGGACCCATAGACTATTATGTCTATGTGTGGACCTCCCCCCCTTCTGCCCGCGAGTCGTCAGGGAAACGGGCCAGCCCGCTGTAGTGCCGCGCCGTTAAAGCGCCGTACTCAGCGGGTCCCCGAGCCTTCTCCAGTCCGTTAAAGCTCGCCGGTGCGCCTCGAGCTTCACTCGAGTCGCTCACTGACGGACAACGGCCGCCGCGCCGCCGCTTCCGCCTTTAATGACGACGAGATAGCTGCATCTGTAGAGAAGGACCGCGGCTAGCTTTCTTTACGTTATAAGAAAGCTACCCCGCCCCCGCCCCCCGTAGACGTCTGCGTCCATTTTAGCAGCCGCGTTCTCCGGTAATTCATTAAAGCGCATGCTCATTAACTGACGCAGCCGCGCCAAACGTGATTAGAAATGTATTTTACTTAATATTTTTTCTTAACAGTACATTTGTAACGTAAGTAACTTAATTTTATTGACATTAGTAACTGTAATCAAATTACATACATTTTAAATGTAATGAGTTACATTACTGCGTTATCACGAAATGTAATTACACTACAGTAGCGCGTTATACCCAACTCTGACCGTAACACAGCAGCAAGACAGCAGCGCAGTCTAAATGGATTTTATGCAGAAAACGATCAGCCCAACGTCCACATTAAGACGGAGCATCTTCAAAGGAATCAATATCCTGCTAAAAACATCAGACATCAGTTGATTAGCTCAGTTAAATATTAGTTGAAACTTTAAAAGAATAACTTTACATACCAGTTGATCATCACGGAATTGTATAAGCGTACGGTTGCTCACAGCAGCGTACACATAAAAACAAACCAACTGAAAGGAAGAGCACGTAGATTATCGCAAGCTGCACAAATCTACATTACAAACATTTACCTATAGCCTACCTGGGGGAACGGAACAGCCTGCACATCACCGCGGCGCTGCCAACCAAACACGGCCAGCATTGAATGGCGGCGCGCCTGCAACAAGGGGCGGAGCTAACAATGACGCATGAGCAGGTGGCATAAACAGTCTTTAAATAGCCCAGGGACAGCGGCCGATAGGCTGCCACATCTATCACTCATGTGACAGCCACAAATAACAGGGCGGGGTCTAACCTGCTCTGCCACACCTTGTTTTAGAATAAATACAAATTTTATAACATTTCAGAGAAGAGTTATTCTCAATCTTTTCCACTGGCCAAATAGTAGTGTATTAGTATTTAATTACTTTAAACAAATCATATGTATGCAATTTTGCCCATAATGTAAACATATAATTTAGTATGTTTATATATTTTTTAATGGAAACAAATAGGCCTTATTTTTTGCTGTGTAAATAATTGTAAGAGTCAGCACTAACAAAACATTTTTAAAAATAAAAGTTTTCCTAGTTGAAATCAGCTTACAAGTCTTACATCATTTTCAAAATATCCTTTGAGGCCATGTAAGTTTTACAGCCTAAAAGTGTTACAGGAAATGGGACAGATATTTTGTGAAAATGTTTTTATTTCTGAAAAATACATTCTGATATAAAAAGTCAAGTGTCACTCAACACTTATTTGTGTCATTATTCCAGGAGACATGTTATGACATGACATTGACACATACGGTTTCTCAAGTTCACACTTACATACAATTAGAGGGAGTAAAGTAGTATGCGTATTTGGCGTGCTGTCCGAGGAGAGGGCTCCCAGCTCGGCCCGAACCCAGAGTACTCCCCCCGTATGTAAATGGAGAGATGCTGCTAAACTGTCAATGGATTGAGGTGAGACTGCTGAGTCTACCTCTTATCATTGATTGCTGAGTGCACTCCACTCGTGTTAATTATCTGAACGTGCTCCTCCCAAACTTTGTTAATAAAACATCATTCAAAATACAGAAACGTGACTTAGGCTATGTTTACACGGAAACGATCTGAAGAGAAAACGCAAAAGTGGCGTTGCGTTATCACTTTTTATTCTGCGTTTAGACGAGCGTTATGGTTGGGAAATCCGCGTGCATATGGTGACGCAAAAGTGTGTGAAATTCGATGTAGTATGCACTCCAGGCGGCTAGGTGGCAATGTGAAGCACTGCCACACAACAACACCAATATCTTAGAATATTTTGTACAACTGCTAAAAAGACTCTTGTATGTTTTTCAGAGCTGCTAGGGCAACTTGAAGGTCCGACGTATGGAAATCATCTGACATGTTGGTTGTTATTTTCCTGTACTGGCGCATGCCTGTGACGTAAATGCGTACGCGACGAGAGCCACCGTGAGCAGATTTGCGTTTTTACTGTTTAGACGGGAACGCGACGGAGCGTTTTTAAGATTTCCACTCTGGAGGGTGGTTTCACTTTTTTGCGTTTTTAAGCCCCCAAAACGTCGTTGCCGTGTAAACGAAAGGCACATCCGATAAAATATTTTTACGTTTTCACCCGGAATCGTTCTCGTGTAAACGGGGCCTAAAAGGTAACTAGTATCAAAATAAGACACAAATTAAGTAAAAATTGATTTCAGTGACTCCAGACGTAATTAGCCAAAATAGGATTTTTCTGTACTAGATTTGATGGTAAATCTGTGGGATGAATTTAAACATGGTAAAATGTGTTCAACAGAGCTGAGAGACTACATTCTTATGTTACTGAAAACATTGTACTAAAATCAAGTTGTTGCAAACCTGTATGAGTTTCTTTCTTCTGCTGAACACAAAGGAAGATATTTTGAAGAACGATTGGAACTCTGGCACCATTGACTTCCATAGTATTTATTTTTCTACTATGGAAGTCAATGGTGCCAAACAACTGTTCCACTCGTTCTTCAAAATATCTTCCTTTGTGTTCAGCAGAAGAAAGAAACTCATACAGGTTTGCAACAACTTGAGGGTGAGTAAATGATAACACAATTTTTGGGTGGAGTATCCCTTTAAACCCTTTTTGCTCTTCCCTTACATCTAAACCCACCCTTAAACCTACCCATACCACCAAACCTGTCCTAACCTTACAGTACCTGTATCACACCTCAGTAGCAACACAAGGGTTTTGCAATGCAACATCAACACAATAAGCATATTGTACCTAACAGTACATAGTAGCTACAGATATAAATATAAACTGTATAAACAATATAAACTGTAACCCGTTAACCAAAAGTATTTAATAAACAAACGTTCAAGTGCCTATAAATGTGTGAATGCCAGTAATTCCAGACATTTATATGCATATCAAGCATTTGTGCGTCAGGAGCAGAGCCTGCAGGAATGATGGAAGACGATCCCACCACCACCAGAACAAGGGTCCGATCAACACAAGAGTGGACAAATGGCCTCCACTGATTTGTGATCAAGTGCATTTAAAAATAAACCTGCATATACCTTCATTTAGACCAGTCACATTGCATAGGTGATTACAAAACTTTCAGAATATAAAATATGCAATAATAAATGTTTTTTGGGACGTTGTTATAATTAAATGTTTTCATTTGCACTGGAGCAAATAATCATCATATCTCAGTCCGATCAGGGACTCCTAATATAGAGTCAAAATAATGATTTCCTTATTATCAACCAGTGATGAAGAGGACGTTAATCGCACAGTAGCAACAGGCCAAAGTGTCTGTGATGATATCATGCAAATCCTCAGTATTGGCAATCACGCAGTGATCCATCCAAAACTTTTGCCTACAGAATTCCCATGACGCGGCAGGAATCCAGGAATCCAACACGGAAGACTTGAACATGGCTGAATCTGGCTTGTCTGTTTCTGAGTAGAAAAATAAACAAGAGTGACCCGTAGATCAATAAAAAGGTTTTTCCTCCATCTTCAGTTCATGAGGGCCACTGTGCTCTCCGGCTGTCCTCGGACCAGCTCAGAGAAGAACTCCAGCGCCAGACGCACGTGAACAGGCACAAACACATAGGAGGTGTAGATGACCATGGCCACCATAGTAAAGAGGACTGTGTTGAAGACGGACTGTTCCCACGGCTCCAGCACATAGATGCCTGTGATGAGCAGGTACTGGTAGTACAACCAGCCCATATTCTCTCTCATCTTCTTCATTTCCATGTGAAGGGCCACACAGCCTCGCTATGAGCTGAGGGGGAAGACAACAGGGTGAGGCGCACAATGGACACACAACAACAGATCAAATCATGCGTGATAATGCTGGTTAGGAGTGCTAGTGTGTGTCTTTAAAGAGCCTATCGAATTACACCACAGGAATTCATGGCTCCACGGCATTCAAGGGGCTCACAGTTGGATGTGGTGATTTATTTTTTGGGACTGTAATCTGATACTATTGATAGCAATTTCATCACTTCAAACAAGATAAACATGAATGATATACACTTGTGTTCCAACTGAATCTCATTAAATGAATGTCCAATAATGAAAACTGGGCCGTCAGTGCCGGAGCCAAGGGTTTTTTATTTTCTTTTTTTACAAGAATTGCGTTTTTAAAACACAGAAAAATTTTATTTTAAGACCACAAAAAACGTGAGACTTTTCGCGCACTCCAACTTCACCTCAGCGCCAGGCGCAAGTCAAACGAGTGCGGAAATGTACAGGTGCCGAATAAGCTTCAGCAGTGACCGGAGCATAGTAAATATAGATTTGATGTTCCTCAACTGGTGGGTTGCAAGACCGTTTTGAGTGAGTCGCATATGTCCAGTCAAAGAAACAACAACGTAATTCTCTTTTTTTCTGATTCTACTTTATTTTGAAAGATCTGTGTGAAAGCTTGTGACACTTCCGTCAGATGCGGAGAAAAGCGCGTTGTCCTGAATCAGTTGGCTATCTGCAGTAAGATGAGATGTTGCAAGGTCAACAAATGTCAGTAAAACTAACTTTTTACTGTCCTGTCAGACGTTGTACTGTACTTGCACATCACGCGCAAATGTGGCGTGCTGTAGCTGTAGTTCTGTCGTCAACTCGTGGAATAATCAAAAAGGCGATAAAATCTGTGTCAAAACTGCATGCATGTATGTATTTGTTATATATGCGTCACATATGTCTAGACTAAAATAGTCTGCCATGTTTAAGGCACAAACTGATAGGCTATGTGTTTTTTTTTATGTACAAATAAATGTGAGCACTGTGCATGTGTACTAGAAGATAGGCGGTAATTTTGCGTTAATTTGTAAAGGACTAAATAATTTGTAAAGCATGTTCACTTCCGCCTTGTTCACATTCTTGCACATAGCGATTTAAAAGAGATGTTTCCCCCCTTTTTAATTAGGTACGATAGAACGGTTTAGATTCTTTATTTTGACTACTAATATAGAAAGTTGAAGAGTTAATTGATTATATAAAATTCAATGAAGGGTATAATGAAGGGTATAATCTTTGAACTACAGTAGTCATCTGCATGTCTCATCCATGAAGGTGCAACAATGTTGGGGGTTTTGAGAACCAGAACCATGCTAACTGAGCAAGTTTACTATATGACTAAAGAACTTTAGCTATAGTGTGTGTCCCCTTTATTAATATGCCTGGAGGTGGTAAGTAGCTAATAATAATAAAGAAATATCAAATTCACTCAGTATTCCATAATTCCTAATTCACTACTCTCTCAATTACAATTGAATACAAATGAACTGTATTCAGTTGTGTAGGAACAGTCCAATACATTATTTAAACTAATTATTATGTTAAAATAATTAAGATCTATGTGCCACCCCAGACTGTTTACTGGCCCCTACCTGGCCACCCCTATGAAAAAATCCTGGCTCCGCCACTGTCGTCGTGAGAATGAGATCTGTCACATATATTATTGCATATTCAATTATCAGTGGTTTATTGTTCCTCAGCTGTATTGCTGGCGAGTGCTTGCCTTGGGCAAAACGAACCATGTTTGAATGTGCTCATTAATAATGTGTAGCTCAAGGGCAAGTAAAGGTAAAACTCCAGCATGTGTAGTAGTAACGCACAATCTGCAGCCGTTCAGGTGGAGCACGTCCCGCACACAGGCACAAAACACCACAGGAACACGTTCCCTCGCTCTCTCGTCACTCATGTCAACGGCATGGAAAACATTTACACTCTTGCTCATATCATGGAAACTAATACAACAACTTGGTCGGACTTAAAATGTGGCTAATATGTTCAATTATTAATTGCATAAAAAACTATGCTTTAGCTAGTGTATGTCTCACTGTATAAAGTGAAAATAATGTCCATGATTTTTTATTTATTTAAATTTTTTACTCAGATCAATTCAGTCATATTCAATCCTATTTTAAATAAAAGATGTTAGATGTTACCACATGAAGCACATTAGGATACCTATTTACAGGACTATATTCAGTATCCCTACAGCCATAGACATTTTGCATATAAGTTTCATCTATAGTGTATACCAAGATGACACAAAGAAAGCATTTAAACAATGGACATTCCTTAACAACAGTCATTTGATGAGAACAATAACACGAGGGAGTATGTCAACTGTAATGCCATATCCAGGCAACAGCAGAAACATATACACATCATTTAACTGGATCCTTTTGTTGCACTGGTTGTTAGTAGGACATACGGAGTAATATTTATTTTGCTGTACTAAAAAAAAGTACTGTATGAGAACGCGCACAGGCATGAAAACAGTTAAAGAGTGCACGAGAGGGAAATATTCACGATGTTTTCCTTTATCTACGCTGTTATGAGATGCCCAAACTATTTCACACATGGTTAGTTAATCACTCATCATAGTTGTTGTTGCAAATTGTAGTAATAGTGTAATAGTTGTGTAGTTGCAGTAACAGCAGTAGTGCTGTTATTATGACCATTAGAGTTTCAAATTAATTTTCAATGGCTGGATCATTGCGGGCTAAAATAAAACACTGCAGTCATTTTAAAGCCTTAGTAAACGTGTTGTCAGGTGTGATGAGAGTAATGTAAAGTCACTCACCTCGGCGGTAAAGCTTCAGTGAGGAGTGTGTGATGACCTGACGGCCCCGCTGCTCTGCCAGTTATACACACACACCACTCCCACTTATCGTATTTACTCTCACCTGTGTGTCTGTAGCAAAAGAAATGATCAAACATATTGTGAAACTCAACTGATTGTATTCTCCTAACATGTGACACAGATCGCCGCCAGAGCTCTCTCTCTCTCTATCTCTCCCTCTCTCTCTCTCTCTCTCTCTCTCTCTCTGGTAAGGCTGTAGCCACAGTGTGGTATTCTGTGACGTGGATGTTTTACAGAAGTATAGGGTCAGTTAAGTAAAAAAAATCGACAAAAAAACGTATAGGGTCAGTCATATTCTTGTCACTAAAAAGTCCCTAATGCGTAATTTATCATCTGTTTCATGATAGAAATGTTACACTGATTGACAGTATGTTTACATGTTTACACATTACAATTGTAATCGGACCAGTAGCACAGTTGGAATAAAAAAAGTCACATGTAACCATGTCAGTTAGAATAAATTAGCCAAATCTGATTAAAATTTAATCCTGATTGTAAGGGGTGATTAAACCTTTTCTAATCCAATCGAGAGGGCATGTAAACATTTTAGATTGAACCCCGAAACTATAAATGTGCAATAATGTAGAAATCACATAATGACGTAGGCATATGACGCGTGGAACGAGCTGTTATTGTTGAATGAAGTGGCATAAATGACTGTCGTGTCATTCCAAAATTCTCCTTCCACTCATCGTCTTTGAAGATGAGCAGGACAACGTCCCATCAGTCCTTATTTTGGCCGTGGGAAAGATGTTTTTATTGCTTGATAAGCACAGATGTTCATGTGCTTGTCGTCTCCTAATTAGAACCCGAAATAGATAAATATTAAGTCTGCTCTTTATAAAAAAAAAAAGCCATGTAGAAGGATGGCTAGTATGCGCAAACAGCGAGAAACTCTATATATTCCTGCAGTGTGCGCACGTCAAAAAATCTATTCCGTTGGAAGCTTGTAACGGAGATGCACTACTTTAATAACAATATAAACACCGGTAATCCAGGGCAAACAAAGAAACTCAGGACAGGGGCATGGTCCAGCAAACAACGACTGACAAACCACAAGAAAAACACAAGGGCAATTTATACACAGGCTAACAAGGGTTGATTGTCATGGGAACAACACACAATGGTAACCAAGGGAACTAACAAGACACAACTGGAGAGACTAATCAACCAGGAAAACTACAAAGAAAGTGAGCATTAGCGTCAGTTCTGGCAGGCCAGGTAGTCAAGATGCTGCTAACGCTATCGGCCGACTACATGGTCTCATCAGCGATCGCTCAGCTGAGCTGCATCAGCGCATCTGCTGTTCATCTCCCCTCGTTGGTAATACCTACGCTCAAATCAGGGTGCCCTATTTAAGCAGATTCAGTTCACTCCTAACTGCTCGCTCTCGCTGCAACCCACCTCCTCCCCAGCTCCTCCTGTCGTGTATAATGTGGCATTTGCTTTCTGTCATCGTTGCTGCTTTGTTCATATGGGGAAATAGTTCTGCTCTCCCAGTACTAAAGTGTGAGCGTTCCCTAATGCTGCTGCTGTCCTCTGACTCTGCTATTTCATGGTGCTCATGAAAGGTCAGAGGACTCCCTGAACAGAGCCATACCGCCAAATTTTAATGATCAACTTGAATTGCAATTTATTCAATACAATTTCCTAATCATTTATTGTCATGTGTGTTCTTGACTTAATGGACCTGACAGAACTACAAAACATGGCACAAGACAGTAAATAACACAAAAGTCCTCACACAAGACGGGAACACAGGCTGAGATCGTGACAGAGCTCCCTCCCTAAGAAGCGGATTTCAGACGCTCCTCAAAAACAGACATAAGTCCAGGAGGGAGGCGGAGTGGATGCGGACCAGGGGGCGGGAAGGAGGACCAGGCCTGTGGAATGGAAGAGGGCTTGGAAACCGAACTGGTCAGGGGCAGGAGCCTTCACTGGACACTGGTCAGGGGCATATACAACAGGTAGAACAAGTATTTGATACACTGCCGATTTTGCAGGTTTTCCCACTTACAAAGCATGTAGAAGTCTGTAATTTTTATCATAGGTACTCTTCAACTGTGAGTGACGGAATCTAAAAGAAAAATCCAGAAAATCACATTGTATGATTTTTAAGTAATTCATTTGCATTTTATTGCATGACATAAGTATTTGATCACCTACCAACCAGTAAGAATTCCGACACTCTCACAGACCTGTTAGTTTCTCTTTAAGAAGTCCTCCTGTTCTCCACTCATTACCTGTATTAACTGCATTTTAACCTATATTTGAACTCGTTATCTGTATAAAAGACACCTGTCCACACACTCAATCAAACAGACTCCAACCTCTCCACAATGGCCAAGACCAGAGAGCTGTGTAAGGACATCAGATAAAATTGTAGACCTCCACAAGGCTGGGATGGGCTACAGGACAATAGGCAAGCAGCTTGGTGAAAACAGTTGGCACAATCATTAGAAAATGGAAGAAGTTCAAGATGACGGTCAATCTCCCTCGGTCTGGGGCTCCATGCAAGATCTCAACTCGTGGGGCATCAATGATCATGAGGAAGGTGGGGGATCAGCCCAGAACTAGACGACAGGACCTGGTCAATGATCTGAAGAGAGCTGGGACCATAGTCTCAAAGAAAACCATTAGTAACACTACGCCGTCAAGGATTAAAATCCTGCAGCGCACGCAAGGTCCCCCTGCTCAAGCCAGCGCATGTCCAGGATAACACAAAAGTTGTTATCCATCTGAAGTTTGCCAATGACCATCTGGATGATCCAGAGGAGGAATGGGAGAAGGTCATGTGGTCTGACGAGACAAAAATAGAGCTTTTTGGTAGGGATGCACCGAATGTTCTGCAACCGAAATTATGAAAATTATTCAGCCGAATAAGTAAAAAGACTGAATAAATTTTTACGAACAAAGACGTTTTTGATGACGCAATCAAATAGTAACCAACGTAGAGTGAGAGGCGCGCGGTTTATAAATGCAGCAAACATGTCGGCGGTGTGGAAGCATTTTAAAGTGTCCGAGAAAGAGGCAAAAACGGCCGTTTGCAGACACTGTTCTGTTGAATTGTCCAGAGGGGGTGCATCTGCAAAAACTTACAGCACTACAAGTTTGATTTATCACTTAAAATCAAGACACCCCTGAACAGCAGGCTGAGTACGAGAAAGACACGGCGGCAGCAGCGAAAAGTAAAGTAGCTCCTCCCAGTCCCAGGACACCCACTCCATCTGTTGCTGACTTCTTAGAAAAGGCAAAAAAGTTTACCAGTGACAGTGCCAAAGCTAAAGGCATTACTAAAAGGATAATGGAATTCATCGCATTGGATGATCAACCATTCTCGGTTGTAGAGGATGTTGGATTTCGCAGGCTTATAGACCATATTGAGCCCCGTTACACCATACCTAGTAGACGGCATTTCACAGACGTGTGCTTACCTGAGATGTATAACGTCGTTTCAACTCACGTCCATGAGCTCTTGGCTACAGATATTGCAGCCCTCAGCTTCACGACTGATATATGGAGCTCGGATGTAAGCCCCACCAGTATGCTGAGTTTAACTGCGCAGTGGATCGACACAGATTTCATGCTACAAAAGATTGTGCTGGACTCACAAGAGTTTAGAGGGTCCCATACAGCTGCAGCCATATCAGAGGCGTTCACTAACATGTTTGACACTTGGCATATCGACCGATCTAAAGTGCATGCGGTAGTCAGTGACAACACAAGAAATAAGGCTAAAGCCATGGAAGATAGCAATCTGAAAGGCATACGGTGTATGGCACACACAATTCAACTGGCGGTCAACGAGGGATTGTTGAGTCAGCGCAGTATAGCGAATGTGATAGCGATAGGCAGGAAAATTGTTGGCCACTTTAAACATTCCCCGCTTGCCTATGCGCGCCTACAATCTATCCAAGAACAGTTCGGAACGCCACAAAAACGTTTCCAACAAGATGTGAGCACAAGGTGGAACAGTACATATTATATGCTGGAAAGCCTTTTTGCGCAAGAGCGAGTCCTGGCTACATACATAGCAGATCATGATCTGCCCGCACATAACTTGCAGCACTAAAGCGTCTTTTAAACAAAGAGACTGAAACAGACCACGGAGTGAAAACAACTAAAAGTGCGCTCTTAGAGGCTGTCAGCACACGATTTAGTCAGGCGGACTCAAACCCCTGTACTGCATCGCGACTGTACTTGATCCACAATATAAAGATCATTACTTGGATGTGGGGAAAAAGTTGCGCACACGAGAAATGATCCAGGCCGAGTTGGATTTGGGAAAGTCGCTAGGTGATGGAGACGGTCAGGTGATGCACAGCGCAGGAGATGAAAACAGCGCAGAGAGAAAACGAGCTCGTACTACAGATGAGCCGTGCACCGTCTCACTGTCTTACATGTTCGATAAGATCCTCCAAGAGAATAACCCATTTGCAAGACAGAGGACAAGCTCAACAATTAGATAGTTATCTCTCAGAAGTCCCCACCCCCAGGAGCAATAACCCTCTCGAGTTTTGGAGGACCAATCAAGGCCGCTTTCCCGACCTGGCACAGATGGCACGCAGATAGGCTACTCGTATGGGAAATTAATTTAAGATTTTATTTATTTTTTCGTAAAACTTAAGTAGTTTCTATTGTTAACATTAAATAGTCTTTTAGTTAACACAAACTAACAATGCAAAAAAAACTTATTAAAAGCATTTATTAATCTTAATGTTAACATTTACTAAATACAATATTAAAATCAAAAGTGGTATTTGTTAACATTAGTTAATGCACTTATACTAACATGAACTAACAATGAACAATTGTATATTTATTAACTTACATTAACAAAGATTAATAAATACTGTAACAAATGTATTGCTCATTGTTAATTAATGCTAGTTAATGCAATAATGTTAACAAATGGAACCTTATTGTAAAGTGTTACTGTATTTTATAATATGTATTTGGTACTATTTTAAAG